AAATACCCAGCCAACCTTTAGAAAGACTTTGCCGAGATGATTAAATGGTTCCGAAAGATCCCTAACAAAAGAAGAGCCACTTTCATCCAATTTGACATCTTGACTTCTATTTCAGAGGAACTATTAATTAACAACCTTAATTTCGCTAAAGGATATACCGAAATAACTGGTAATGATCTGGACATTATTTTAGCGTCAAGAAGATCAATACTTACATACAATGACGCTACTTGGGTGAAGAAGAATAATGAAAGTTTCAATGTACCTAGGGGAGCTTTTGATTCTTCCCAAATTGCAGATTTAGTGGGCATATATATTCTAGACACCTTGAGTAGAGTAGTTAGCCTTAACCAAGTCGGAATTTATAGAGATGACAGCCTAATCATTGTCCCAAATAGCAATGGTCCCTTGACTTCCATCTTACATAAGATAATTAGGGCCTTCAAATACCTTGGCCTTAAAATTGAAATTTCTTCCAACCTGAAAATTGTCAACTTTTTGGATATTACACTCAATCTATCGAATGATACCTTTAAACCCTTCCATAAAGTTGATCAGATACCCCTATACATCAACGTCCACTCTAACCACCTTAAACATGTGATAAATCACATCCCCAAAACTGTGAATACGAGAACAAATAGGCTATCTTCTAGCCAAAAAATCTTTAACGATAATAAATTTATATACAATCAGGCCCTGAAAAATAATGGTTTTAGACAAGAATTAAACTTTAACGGAGAACTTGTAAATCAGAATAATAACAGAACTAAAAACAGAAAGAGGAAGGTAATATGGTTCAACCCACCATATTGCAGGCTAACATTGATATAGGAAGTTTCTTTCTGAAATTAATTGATAAATACTTTCATAGTTAACATCCACTACGTAAAATTTTCAATAGGCAAAACACTGAAAATTAGTTACTCATGCATTAGAAATATGGAGAAAATCATATCTTCCCATAATTGTAGAATACTTAGAAACTATCATAGTCTCAATCTAGTAACCCTACCTGCAATTGTAGGAATAAAGACCATTGTCCAATTGGGGGTAAATGTAAGTAGGAAAATGTAGTATACGAGGCAACAATCTTTCCCGAGGAAAATGTAAACCAGAAAAAAAGATATATAGGTATATCCGCTGGTGATTGGAAGCAGCGTCTATACAACCATAAACGCTCATTTAGATATAGATACCTCAGAAATCAAACTTCCTTATCCAAACACTACTGGGATCTGGTGGTTAAGGGACTAACCCTACTTTTAAAATGGAGATACTTATCAAGAGCTAGAACACCTAATAACTTCCGTGATTGGTGTGATCTGTGCATGATGGAAAAAATTTTTATTATTAAAGATAAGAATCAAGATGAGTTACTGAATCTTCGTAATGAGATATTTTCTAAATGTAGACATAAGAAACGATTCAGAACATAAACACCATTTTATAACATGTTGTCACTTATGTCAGTTCCATCTTGGTTCAAGAACATCGAGCATGACATTTTAATGGAATGACTATTATGTTTATCTATAAATATCATTGTGTATGTTTATGTGATGCACTATGTATTTTTTTTATTTTTATTTTTTTTTGAGACAAAAATTTTTTTTAGATTTTACATTTTGATTTTGTATGTATATGTGCGTACCTGTGTGTGTATGTGTGTATATATGTAGAAGTGTATATGTATGTGTATGCATATAGATGTATATGTATATATATGTATGCGTATATGGATGTATGTATATGTAGGTAGATGTATATGTAGATGTGATTGTGTGTGTGTATGTTTTGGTATGTATGTACTCGTATATATCTGTATATGGGTGTATATGTATGTATAGTTAGACGGATAGATATAGTTTATTATTGTTTATTTGTTTAGATGGGTGTATATAATTGTATGGAGATGTAAGGTTTTATGTATATATGTTTATGTGCATGTATGTGTATGTCTGTATTTATATATATGTGTAAATGTGTGTATATATATATATATATATATATATATATATATATATATATATATATATATATATATATATATATATATATATATATATAGGATGTGTGTGTGTATGTATATGAAAAAATATATATATATGTGTGTGTGTGTGTGTGTACATGGGTATATATGTGTGTGTGTACATGGGTATATATGTGTGTGTATGTGGGTACACGCCTATATGTATGTGTGTACATATATGTTATTGTGTATGTGTGTATATGCATGTGTTTTTGAACATAAAAATATAGGTCCTTGCTAGATTAGATAATCGTTATATTTATTTTTTTTTATGTTTATATTTGATTTGTAACCTGTAGTCGATATTAATTTTGTCAAATTTTCTTAATTACACAGCGGCCCTTTCAGTAAATGCCCTTCAGTTTTAGTTTCCCCCGCCCCATCTCTCTCCCCCACCCCTTTTTCTTTTCTTTTCCCCTCCCTCCCTCTTCTTCTGATCTTTAAGATTAGATTGTCTATTGTGTGTGTATGTCACCACAAAATGTATCCTTTCCGGTTACATCTTTAATGTATTAGACATCCGACAACATTCATATTTCTGTCACTTAAACCGTCTTTGACTCACCTCTCTAAAACTTCTCTCTGTTAAGTTTTAATCCCCCACCTTCTCTTGTCTGTTACCCTTCTCTTTAGCTCTAACATTCGTCCCACACTCTCATACTTACACTCTCTCTAAATTCTATTTTTTATTTCTGGAGTTGTTTTTTCTGTTTTCTTTTTGAATTTGTAGGTCTGATGAATTGGATCGTATTTACTATTCCAATGGAATAAATTATGACCCTGGAATATTAGTGTTTAAGTCTTTTTATTATTATATCCTTACTCTGTCCTGGACATTGAATTCTACCTGGATTCTATCCTCTTGGCTCTTGGAATCTTTTTATTAAAAAAAAATATATGTATGTGTATGCATATATATATATATATTTATATATTTTGCATATGCATGTGTATATTTACCACTACTAATATTATCTCTCTCTCTCTCTCTCTCTCTCTCTCTCTATATATATATATATATATATATATATATATATATATTTTATATTGTATATATTATATGGTATAAATTTTAGGTCTTTCTGAGAAAAAAGCATGTTTGTCATTCCTTTTCCATTCAGCTATCTCATTCCATCCATGAATTATGGTGTTATTATATCATGAATATAATAATGCCCATAACAGGGGAAATGTTAATAGGAAAATAAACCTTTCCTCCATAGCTCTCTCCCATTATACTTTGAAATTTATTTGAATGCTATAATTTAGGTGATGAAAGAGTATAATGGTTCACAGGCTACTTTTAGAAATCATTAATATTGAGTAGTGAGTTTTGATCCTCTCTGAGTATATTGCATGACAAAACTACAATTTGTAAATGACTATAATTTTATATGGTGCTTCTTCTATTTAAACTATTTACATTGTTCAGACGGATGTCCTCATCTTTATTGCCATATGCACAATATTTTGGCCGTTGTACACTCTGGTCTTCTTAGAGTGATGTCCGTTGGAATTTCAAACCAAACCCTTTATTTAGTCCACCTGGGTAGATTGTTCTAATTCCACATGCCATGCCATTTTTGGTGAGGAGGGGATATCTCAGCTTCAGTTAATTCCCTTTTGTAATTCAACTCTCCAAGTTTTGTTCTCTCTGCTGTGGCCAGGTATTGAACTCACAATTCTTTGGGTCAAGTCATTTTTTGGATACTCAACCAATGCTTTTATCCACTCAAAGTTTTTAAAATATTTGATCTTTCAAAGTGAAAATGCCTTTTGAAAATGCAGGTGCAATAGAAATGACTTTTTAATAAAAAGAATTTTTTTTTTTTTTAAATTTAAGGTACATTATAAAAACTAAACAACTTTATTTTATTCAGTTCTTATCTTATTTGTTTGTAAGCTTCTGTAGGACTAATGTTTATTAAGAACAGTCATATAATAGCCACATGAACACGACAGAAACTGTTCAAGCACATAATCATCACACTTTGTTTCTCATGACTAACTTGTACCATTTATTTTGGCCAAGAGATAGCTTTAATGTGAGTAATTTAAAGTGCTATTCATTCATTTAAACAATACAAGCAGTACTTATGTAACAAACTCAGTGGTACCAATTTGCATCAGCTGAGTTTTGATTAGCAAGACTCCTCAGATGGCATCAAAAATGGGAAAGTTATGACTTTAGTTGAAAGGATTTCATTACTAAATAAAATGAAATGCTGATACATTGACAGAATTTATTGTCTGAGGCTAAAGAAATGGCAAAATGAATTGAAATGTGATTGATTGGATGTGAAAAGAAAATTGGAGCTTCAAGAAAAAAGGTTATAAAATAAGACTTTTATTTAACTTTTCAAACCATTCTTGACAAATGCTTACACCTACTGCATCATTACCATAAGTTTTAGTGAGCCATTATTAAATTTCCACTGGACACTTTTCCTGCATATCATACATGGAAATGTGTTAAATGTGTATTTTATAGTCAGCCATGATTTTTCACTGCATTGAATTGAAATAATCAATTTAAGTTTTCTGCATATCATAAAAAGTAAAATTAAAAGATTTCCCTATTATTATAAAAAAAAAAAGATGGGACTGGGGATTTTTGTATCGTTTCGTACTACATGAAGTCGTATATGAAGTCGTTATTAATGAATGGAACAGGCTTGTTTTCCCAAAGCGTCCAAGTGTTGTACTCCATTCAACGAAACAACCGAGTTTGGAAAAAGATAATAAAAATACAAGTTATCTCCCTTGCTTTACGATTAATCATTGCTCGTGGAACCCGATGATGTCATTAGCCGTAAAAGCAAGGGTCCCCCAACTTTTTTATGCCATCGACCCCCACTCATACCATCATGTACAAAAAATATCCATAATAATAATTTATTTAAGGGTAAAAATTCCTTTGTTTTTTTTTTTTTTTCCTTCGTTATTGTTTCTCAATAAAATTCTTTTTATGTTTAAGTTTTTTTGTTATTCGTCCTTTTTTCACTCTTTATTTCTTTTTTTATCTATACGAGACGTGTAATAAATAATGATGGAAAAATTCATAATAAACACATTAAAAAAAAGAAAATACCAATTTTTATTGAATTGGTTGACATCATTAATGGGAGGATCTTTGAAGAGTAGTAGCAATGGCATTAACGGCAAACTAATGGATTTTTTTTTTTTTTTTTTTTTAGTAGTAAAAAAAATCACCATGATTTATTTCTCGATTTTCTTCTAGCTCCCACCCAGACACTTAACGAACCCCAAGATAGTCGCATCGACCTCCCTCCGAAATACCCCTAAATTAAACGATAGTGCACCTAAATTTTCCTTTTTTTTTTCTTTTTTTTTTTTTTGTCACTCTCCTCCTGTATGAGGTCAGAGAAAGTAACTCCTCGTTTTAGACGAGAGATTAGGTAAAAAAAACAAAAAAAAAAACATTTCAATTTCAAGATCTTTCTCCACTGAATGATAATCCGCATGAGTTTTTAGTGGCCATATCACGTTGAAACACCAGTCCCCGTACGATTAACGGAGTTAAGCAACGTCGAGCCTGGTCAGTACATAGGGGGAGGTAGACGATCAAGAGAAGCATTTTTGAATGTACGACAAGGCATTTTGATTTTTGACGCTTTTTAAAATTTTTCGGCCGTCATTTTTTCATCGCTTTGAAACACCGGCTCCTGTACGATCATCGAAGTTAAGCAACATAAGCTTGGTGTAAAGTGGTTTAGGGGTTAAAATGGACTCGATTTACCCATGTCAAGAAGTTTAATGAAGGGTGGTAATGATTAGGAAGCAACTGGGTTATTTTAACAAAACAAGATAAGGAATTTATTCATGAATTTATACATTTAAAGTAGCTTGTTTCAGATATATATGAAAATAAAATGCTTAAAGTATATAGTTTTAAATGTATTGTCTTGAAAAGGAAATGTTGATACAACAGATTTAAATGATGGACACAAAATAATATTAAAAAAAGAATACAGTAAGAGTTTTTTGCTCATCAAAGGGACATGTGTTGTTTGCACACATTCAAAAGTTGCTGAAGAGAGATAGTTTGAAATACTTAACTTCCTTGGGCTGTTGAGAGAAAAATTCTTTGAAGTGCTACATTATGAGGAACTAAAACAAAATCAAATCTCTTACATAACTTCAGACACTCTTCTGTTATTAATTTTTCTTCACATTTTATATTTAAAAAAAAAAAAGGTTTCATGTATGCTTGCTACTTTTCTTTTCTTCTTCTCAACTGATTGGCTAATTTCTGTGAAATAAGGGTTTTCATTGGTCCAAAACCTATTTCACATAGGCTCACGATTTCCTTTCCCTCTTCTTCCTCAATCCTCCGAATTTGAAGGGAGTGGGTGAAATGAGTTATTATTTCACACTAACCACAACCAAATACTGAATTACTTCCCTTGAATTGCTTTACTTATCAGCCTAATCACAATTTTCTCTAAATTCTTTTTTTTCTTTTTAATCATTTACATTAAAGCAATAGAGCCACGAAGATACAAGTGTGACAGAATATCAGGAAAAAAAAAACATTAAGGAGAGAGAACAATAAAAAAAATAATTCAATTTTTGTGATTAATAAGACTTAGGATTTATAAACTTTGCCATTATGGGCATAAAAAGTGACTTTGGTAGTTGTGCATGCATGTAGTAATTTTTTTATATATATATATATATATATATATATATATATTAAGAAATGGACAAGGTCCGACAATTTATTTATTAAAGACATATTTTATGTTTAACGTTGTTATTTTATAGATACAAGTATTTAAGCAAATGCTCTGTTTATGATAAACAGTATTAAATATTTATTAATACTGTTTATCATAAACAGAGCATTTGCTTAAATACTTGTATCTATAAAATAACAACGTTAAACATAAAATATATATATATATATATATATATATAGTATTAGATTTGATATGCAGTGGGGTGTGAAGTATGTTTGTTGACTTAGTTGCAAATAATACTCATTGTTTCATCTAGAATGTTTGTAAATTGGTTATCATCATCAAGTGATGTTAAGGTCATTGGTTTCTAACAACACTTTTCATCTTTGCTTGCCATCAAAATGGAACAGTCTATTATTTATCTGAGGTAATGGTAGAGAATAATGTACATACTTAGGAACAAGCAGAATTATAACCTGATAATTGCCAAAAACACTAATTGAAAATAAGTAAAAGAAAGAAAATACTAATTATTTAAAACTTATTTGTTAATTTGGAAATATGGGCTTCGTTTGATGCTCTTGCTGTCCACAGTTTATTAATTCACTAATGTTGACCATTATTCACAAGTTCTATGAATCTATGCAGACTAAAGCTTGTAATTTTTAGGAACAGTTGGTGCTAAAAAAAAATTAAAAATAGATTCATAATTTATTCTTGAGTGAGAGAACAGCACACCAAGAAAGTGACATTGGAATACAAATATGCAAAACCCAATATATCCATCATGACACATGCACATACATTAGTCAAATGTGCATGATATGATGTCAGGTTTTGTTAACCTTGCACGTAGGACACAGTTTAAAATAATTTCAGGCTGGGTAATCCAGTTTGCTCATATTGTCTCCAATTAAGGGTGTTCCCAATTAATTAGATGTCCATTAATCTCTGCAAATTAGTTCCAGCTTGGTCAGATTAAATGGAGACTGTCTATGAACATCAATTTTCAAGTCTAACCACAGATTCTCAATTGGATTTAAGTCTGGATTTTGACTGGTATATTCTAGTCTGCTAATACTTTGACTGGATCATTCTAGCACATCAATATACTTTGACTATATGTTTAGAGTCATTGTTCTGTTGGAAAGTGAGCCTCCACTGTACTATCAAGTCTTTTGCAAAGTGTCACAGATTTTCTTTGAAGATTACCCCTATTTGTCTCTATCTATCCTCTGATCAATTTTAACCAGCTTCCCTGTCATTGTTGATGAAAAGCATCCTTCATAGCATGATGCTGTCACCACCATGTTTCCTGATATGCAGCATTTGGTTTCTGTCACACGGAAAAATTAATGCCAAAACGTTGAATTTTGGTCTCATTTGACCAGAGCACCTTCTTCTATATGTTTGTTGTGTCTCCCACATGTCATGTGATAAACTGTGAGCAGGACTTCTCATAGCTTTCTTTCAACATGGATGTCTTTTAGCCATTCTTCCATAAATGTCAGTTTTGTGAAGTGTATGACTAATAGTTGTCCTGTGCACAGATTCTCCCACCTGGATCTTTTCAGCTCCCCAAGAGTTACAATGGGCCTTTTGGTTGCTTCTCCTTGTCTAGCCTATCAGTTTAGATAGATGTACTTCATGCTGGATTTTACTTTTCATGGTAAAAGGTGGGTACATATGCACTCAACACTTTTCAGATTTTTATTTGTAAATAATTTTGAACACCATGTAATATTTTTCCCCTGCTTCAAAATGATGGACTATTTTGGATTGATCTAAAACCCAATAAAATACATTTAAATTTGTGGTTGTAATGTGACAAAATGTATAAAAGTCCAAGGTATTGGGGTGTGTGGGTGTGGGGTATTGAATACTTAGGCAAGGTACTGAATGTGTTAACTCCTCCAATCAGTTAAGATCACAAGCCATGAGAGCCATGCCTTGTATAGCATCAGAGCATTTATTATTATCGTTAATTATGAATTATTTGTAAAATGAATGATTTTCCAGTGAAATTACATAAGCAGGATGATATTATTTTCAATTTGAATTTTCTTAGTTGCAAAATAACATTAGAAAATGAGCAAGCTCTAACAGGATTTAGCTTTTAAACTAAAAGCTTGCTAAATAAATGTAAACTTTTTAGATTTACTACAAAAAGACAAAACTTATTAAGAGCTACAAGGGACAGGAAGATGTGGAGGATCATGATTGCCTATGTCCTAAAGGGGTGAGGCACATAAAAGAAGACTGTTTATTATACTTGCTTAGATTTAACATGTATGGCATTTAGCTATCCTTATAGCTGAATTGACATTTTCTTTTTTTTACTCCCCATTAACATAGTCCTTTTGTTTTTTTTGTAATCATTTTTTACTTTTTTTTTTTTTTTTTTTTTCTAAAGCCCAGAACCTTTTGGTCATTTCCTGAATCCTGTTATTTGCTGTCTCCCATAGAGTTGCTTCTAGTAAGTAGGCGTTTGGAGTTTAAAATTTGCATGTTTGTTGTGACTTCTCTTCTGTTCATCATAATTAAGCCATAAATTTATTTATCAAAGATATCCAATTTATTTTTCCTAAAATTTTACCTTTCAATTTCGTTTTATATAAATTATTTTTTATGGTGTATTTTTTTTTTTTTTTTTTTCCACTTTGATATATTGTTTAACAGCAAGATACGTGTATACCATAATATTCTATTTCTGGAATTTTTTTCTGAAAACTAATTGTATATATACACGCACATGTGACTGAACATTGTCACGGTTGGCTATGGCAGTAACATTTTTTGTTGCTACTACCAGTGTGTGTGTGTGTGTGTGTGTGAGAGAGAGAGAGGACTTATTTAATGATATATATTCTTTTTTTAAAAGACAATAGCTGAACACTATAATGAAATCAAAATGAATTTGAATGAAATCAAATATGAATTTGAATATTTTTGAATACACTGGAATGGTGATGGCAAATTGCCTACTACCCTAAATGTCTGTCTCCCTTTGAACATTAATATAAATAAACATTGCTTAATGTTTAAACCTGTCATCATTTTATGAAATTATTTTTTACTTTCAATTCTGGCTCAGCAGTATTTTTTTTTTCTCCCTCTGAAATTTACGATGTGCTGTTAACAACTATTTACTTCATCTGGAATAATACTTTTGTTGAAATGAAGTCACATGACAGCCACTTAGTGACGTCACTAAAATAGTGTGATGAAAGTTGTTAGTCCTGCAATTAGCTTTCAGGAGTCAAAATGAGCAGTTGCTTTTTCAGCACAGGTGAAGCCTCACCTAGATGGAGGTTAAATCTGCCTCTCCCAGCCAGCTCGCAAGTGTTGCAGATTACAAGCCCTTGTCACCGTTTTCTTATGGAAAATATATCTTCACAAGATATAGAATCTCAGGCTAGCAGTTCTCATGTTGGGAAACCCACAAGACTTTCTCCTTTACAGAAAATGTCCTTGCTAGGGACATAGCAGACAAATCCAGCCTGCTTGAATATGGCTTCTCCAGAAACACAGAAGAATGTCCAGCAACCCTAACTCCTCTTGAGAACTACTATACTAAAACTCTTTTTATTTATCTCCTTTTCACTCTGCTTGTTGTTGCATACATGTTATAATTTCTGTGTGTGGGATAAATGTAAATATATATATAATTTTGTGTATGACTTAAAACTCTCTGAGAACAAAGCAGGTTTGTTAATTCCTTTTTTTTTTCAGCTGTTCCATTCCATCTGAGAAATAATGTTATATTATAGATATAATAATGCCCATATTAGGGGGAATACAAATGGGAAAATATTCACTTTTTCCCATTGCACACCCATTATTTGGTGATATTCCCAATGTGACAATATATTATTAATCCCCCATTAACACCATAGAACATTTCATTGAAAGCTGCTATATTATTTCTGTTCATGTGCAAACCTAATATCTTTTCAAGTATAGTATTTTTTTTTTTTTTTTTTTTTAAAATGTGATACATTTGGTAGCTTTTTAGTTATTCTATGCTGTTTTTTATGGTGTTCTGTTGTCTAGGTATGAAGATGAGCTTTGAGAAATTATTGGCAGATGCCCGTTTGTTGGTATCCAGATTAAAGGACCATGATTCCTTGGCAGATTCATTGATTGCCAGTACCAATTCTCTACACAATCGGATTGATGCTATGAAACAAGTAAGTTTTTGTCTTTCATTTGGTTAACACCATATTTTAGCCAGTAATGAAGAGCCGGAGCTGTTCTTGAGACTGTTCCCTTCCCAGTTATATTGTTGATAAAACCTAATGTTTTGATTAAATGATCTTTTATTTTCATCAGGTAAATATTAGGTTGAGTCATAAGTAATTTCTATTCATGGGAACCAATTGTAATGACAAATGTATCATCTTGACTATCAATCATATGTAGCAGTTAAGAATAAACTTGAAGTACACTATCATGCCTTAGTTTTTTGCATGGCTATGGCAGTGTACACACTGGATTAAAGGGGAAAACATTGTTCTTCTTCATTATAATGAAAAGCTGTAAACAGCAAGAACAACAATTTGGCGACTTGGTTGGTCTGTTCTACCTCCACCTGCCATCTTCACCTGACCTTGCACCAACTGATTATTACCTATTCATTTTTTTTTTCTTTCTTTTTTTCTTGCAAAAAAAAAAAGGTTTTCTTTGAGGTGTAAAACTTTCTCTTATGAAAACTAGATTTGACAGTCTGTTGAAAGATGTTTCATATCAAAATCTTCAGAATTTATTTTACTGAAAATGCATTTAATAACTGCCTCATAAGTGGCAACAAGTCATTGTAAATAATACTGGATATATAATTGAATAAAGCGTAATTATTCTTTATTTTCTTTTTAAAAATAAAATTGATAAAAATGGAAATTATTTATGACTCAACCTAATGGAAATACTGTTGTTTTTTCTTTCTGCACCCCACCCCAGTATAAGCAAACCAATTTGTACTGGAATATGACAGATGACTAGCTTTGTTTAATATATAAACCATGCATGGTAAATTTCTTTTAAAAATTTTCTTTTTTTTATGCATACCAACACTCCAGCACATTCTTTTTTTAAGAAAAGATTAATTTTCCTTAAGTTTGATTATTAAAATTTATTTGCTTTTGTCTTCAGTACCAAGATGATATCACAGAGCTAAATGAGATTGCACGTCATCGACCTCGATCTACATTAGTTCTTGAGATAGCCCAGGAAAATCGACAAATCCGGGAACTTCAGCAAGAGAATCGAGAACTGCGTTTATGTCTTGAGGAACATCAAAGTGCACTGGAGCTTATCATGCAAAAATATCGAGAACAAGTAATGCAGTTGATTCAAGGGAACAAATTTGAAAAAACTATTACGAGAAGTGCTGAACAAGGAACGGTATGTATCATGGTCTTGAAAATTATGCCCAGGATTTTCTATCTAATTATTATACAGGAAATTATTTTTCCAAACTATCAATGGGCAAATCCTGAATATTGGCAGGAAATACAAAAAAAAACCCTGCCAAACTATCAAAGGGAAAATCCTGAATATTGGCAGGAAATACAAAAAATATCTTCAATTCTTTTTGTTATACATTTTAATTCTAATCTGATCACAGTATCAAATACATTTATATTGTGTTGTAAAAGAACTACATAACTTTGTTTTAATCTGATATGGTAAAATACTCATTAAAAGGAAACCTTTGGCTTTCTCCACTTGATGTCAGGTCGGTTCCTAAAAAATTTATATTATGATTATTTGAAAATGCTAATTATCAGTAAACTTCAATTATAATTCCGGACTTATCCTTATAAGGAAAAGAGGAACTACTTTGTAATTAGCAGTTAACAAAATTGGAGTTATCTCCCTTAAGCAAATATTTTATTTATTTGTCACTTTATACTTACCATATTTGCCAGCATCAAGGACATGTTTGGTTTGGGTTTTTTGTTTCCACCCACTGAAAATTTTGAAAATTTGCTGTATGTCCTTGAGGATGAAGGTTAGGATTTTTGTAGGCCTATGCTAACCCCAGAGGAAGGTCATTTATTCCAGACGATAAACTGAATTCCTGTATGTGATCTCTTATTTAAATTTATAAGTTATACACTGGTTATGGTAGTAAATAAACAAAATATCATAAAAAATATGTATATGTACAGAATGTTCCTGTGACAGACTATGATAGGGGAACCAACAAACTTATAGAATCAAGGAAGTTAAACACGAGTAACAGCACTCCATCTTGATGAATGTCCTAGTTGGCAACTGCCGAGCTAAGCCATGCCCCTTTGTATGATAAACATTAACCGGTTTGTTTATTTTTCTATTCAGATATCAATTATTAAGTCATAAAAGAAAAACATTTAAGAAATAGTTTCCAGATTTAGTTAATCTGGATGCTAATTCAAAATTAGTTTGTGATTATCATGCAAGTTATATTTGTCTTTTTGTGAATTTTCTCAATATTGATTTGGTTCAGTAAAACATTTAATAAATTTTGTTGATCCATGAAACAGACAAATACAAACTCAAAATATTGAAGCAACATTGAGCATTATAAAGCACTTTAAAAGAAAACATATAACAAGAAAAACAATAAAAGATTGTCTATGTTTCTGAGGTGAGGTATTGTACCTGTTTACACTATTCAGACTGTTGTCCTCATTTTTATTCCCATGTTCATGACATTCCTGCCATTGTATGTGCCGGCCTTCTTCAGAATGTTGGAATTTTGAACCAAACCCTTTATTTAGTCCATGGGAGAAGATTGTTTTAATTCCATGTGCCATGCCTTTTTTGGATATCTTGGTATCAGTTAATTCCCTTTAGTAACTCAACTTTCCAAGTTTTTGTTCCCACTGTGGCCAGGTATTGAACTCACAACTCTTTGGGTCAAGTCACTTTTTAGATTACACAACCAATGCTATTATCCATGGGGCCATGTGTCCTTGGGGACTTGAAATAGTGTAAATAAAAGATTGTTTAAAAGAATTTACTTATAGAAGAGACAATTCTGAATCAAATTTAACAAATATTCTTATAAAACTTATTGAATCTCTTAATTTAAAAAAAAAAATTTTCTATTTGGGTGTGTTCTTGACACTGACAAATATGGTAATTAAAAATTACTTGGAAAACAGTTGTTTGATTGAATAGAATTTGCTTCATTTGTCAAAGTATTTGTTCTATGATGTTCCATTTTTGATGTCTTAATATCGTTTAACAAAAGTTGTTCATTAATTGATAGATAAGCTTGGAACTTTGTGAAAGATAAGTTGGTATTTAATAAATTATGCAGTCTTTAATGCCTCATTTTTTATAAAAAAATTTTTTTTTTACTTACATTGATGTATAAAAACAAAAAAAACCAATAATATTGATTTTTTTTTTTTTTTTTTTTTTAACTCTAGGATTATATCCAGATGATTGACAAAATTTGCGAGATGGCTGCTGTCATGCAAAAGGCAGTTTCAGTTGATGATGCTGCTGTATCCAAAGTGCAAGAAAGATTGACACAATTGGAAATTGAAAATCGGGGATTAAGAGAAATGCTGGAGATTTGCTCAACAACTAGACATCGGATTTTAGAAGACGACGACATGAAAAGCTCAAAAAGCTCAGTTCAAAGTGAAATTGATACAACTAAATAGGACTTTTTTTTAAAAAAAATTTTTATTTTAATTTAATCATTTGGATTGCATGCTAAAAGCTTAACAATGTTTCAGTAAGCAAGTGCAAGTACTTCTGATTTTCATAGAATCAGTTGGAAATTGGTTAAACAATTGAATTTTGACCCTCTTATTTAATAAAAGCTCAATATATTTACTGATCATAACATTGGACTGTGCAGTCTTGGTAATTAACAATTTTTTAATTTTAATGGTTAGTGTTCCATTCACTGGGAGTATTTCAAGATGGCGGCTACTTGTTGTCTGTTTTGTCTACTGGGCATGTTTCAACATGGCAGCTGTTTATCTTCTGCTCATTAAGCAAACAGTGAGTAGCCTTGGGGTAGTTTGTCTACTCAGCCTTAGGTAAGTTTCGCTATCCATTCTAGTTCCAAGCATGAACCCACAAACCAACTACTGTGTCTAATAGATTTCCTTGAACCCATAATTTCTACCTCTACCCCTATAAACTAACTTGTCATACTTGTATGAATTATCAGTTATTAAGTTAAAAATGTCACTTGAAAATCTATCACATTTCTTTCTTATAAACCTATCCATTCTTTCTTGAAGTTAAGTAATAATTTCCAATCTATGTATTTCATAAATATTGCTGTATACCATGAAACTCATTATTAACACAAATGCTGTCCTCAAAGGCCAAAACAAAAAGCAATTCTGAAGGGATTTTCTGTAGAACTGCTTTTCCTCTCGACAATTTGAAATGTGCCCTGTAAATGGAATACAAGCCATTTTAATTTCTAGCTTTAAAATTTGAAAAGTAATTCATATTAAATCTTGAAATTTATTATTTATGCTTTCATTTTCCAACTCTAATGTATAAAACTTCAGATATCCCCTTTTTATACTGCTATTGAAATAGCTTTGCACATCTTTTATTTTTTGCCGCTTTCTTTCTTTCTTTCTTTTTTTTTTTTTTTTTTTTTTTTTTTTTTTTTGGTTCACTTCTAAGAAAAATATAAATAGGAGTAAACTTTTAAAAAATTTATTCACCACTTGTGCCAAGAAAATAATGTATAAATGTAGTGACCAAACAGTAATTTCTTTTGAAAAAATATTCCAACACATTTTATGTATATTTTTTTGTCTTTTGAAGCTTTTAAGCAGTTTTATGATCTGGACATAAAACAATTTTCTGCCCTCAATCTTTTCCCACTGCTAAAAATGTCATGAAATCTTTTAATCTGAATTTAAAAAAGAAAAAAATAAAGAGATTAATTGATATTTTCCCAGGTGAACATATCTTAGTTATGGATGCTTTCAATATAGCAGTTGTTTATATTGTAACAATATACAATTTTGTTCATTTTCAGATTCTAAATTTTCTTTAAAAACCTTCAAATTTTAATGTATAATTTTGTTGCATTAAGGCTATTATATATATTATTTAATTTTTGCAATTTAAATAATAGATACATTGACATTTCTTTTACTGTGCTTTAAGACATGAAGAACACTGATGTTTAAAATCACCTCTTAAAGCGTCTAACATCCTTGTCCTTATAGGCCTGAAAGCATCTGAGAATTGATTTTTACATTCTAAAATCTGTCAGGAAGGCCAGAGATAGGGGTTTGAATGTTTTAAAAAGGTGATTAATATTTTTTTTTTTTTTTTTTTTTTTTTTATCAACTTCTTATTTGTATATTGTTCACTTTTATATTTAGTTCATTTTGACTTCAACGTGTGATTATCCTTATAAGAAAAGATCTGGAAGGAAAGCAAATGTTAAGCTAGTTGCTGTAAAATACAAATGAAAAAATATCTTCCCTGGGTTATTTTTTCTTTCTTTCTCTCTCTACTCAAATGGATCACATTGGTCTTTTTTTGTTTGATGGGGAATCAATTGAATATCATTTCATTTGATTCACTTAGGGCTTCCACTTAATGTAAATAAGGAAGTCCAGTTGTTATTCTTTTTCTGTTTGTTCTGGAGATCTGTTGATAAAATCTAACAAACTCCATTTTTCTGAGATAATAATGTATTAAAAGAACAGGGATATTTTGTTAAGGAATTCAGCTTTTTAAATTGTCATTTTTCAAAGGGAATAAATACTTGAAGTTTGCATTGACAGGATTCCAATTTAATTTTTTTTTTATGTCAAGTAATTTACTTTGATTCATTTTGTTTCTTCTTCATATTGCTTGAACCAAACTATTTTTAAAAACATTTTTGAAACTTTATAATACTTCATTATTCTGAAAAATTTAAAATGCTTAAATGCAAAAAGAAATAAATTGCTGTCTTGCCGGCTTTTTTTTTTCCTTGCAATAAAAAATTATAAAATCCTGTTCCTGAAAAAGTTAATAAAATATGTCTGAAACGAAGTCAAGTATTATGATTATTATTATATTTTAATTTTTTATTTTTTATAAAAAATCTACAAATATATAAATGAAGAAAACACTGAGATATATATTTGTTAAATATTAAGTTCTACCCTGAGTACCAGGGTGATGAAATAGCAGTGCATAGAATGTTGTAAACTATAATTAAAAGTATTTACTACTATTTCTCTGGTAGTTTTGTCTTCAAGGTTAAGATTTGTTTAGCCTCCAGCTGCATCAACTGCTATTTATAAGGTGGAGTGCATATGAATACAACATTAACATTATGCATCCTTGTGAGTGACAAATTGTTTTCTACTCTGCAACCCCTTTTACACAGACAAAACATCACAAGCTTCTTGCTGTTCTACCACTATTTCCATGGAAAGTGCTCAAACTACATGCCTTAGTTCCAACAGATGTTACTTGCATGACTAAGACCCACCATGTCACACACATTGAAGAGAACCACTCTCGTTCCCTTTGTATTCCATTGGTGAGATGGAAGTTCCACTCAAGCAGATTCTTCTCACCGACCATTGCATTGTGGGACGAACTTCCAAGAGGATGCTTCCCCAATTTTTACAATCTCAACCTGTTCAAGTCTAGGGTCAATTGTTATCTTCCCCGCATCTCCCCATAAACTGTGCCTCTTACTCTCTACCTTGAAAACAATATTTTTTCTTTACTTTTGTTTCTAAATACATGTTGCAAAATGCTTACATTTTGATAAAGTCTTTTAGGGGACAAAAAACATTAGTAAAGAGAAGTTTTCCTTTCGTTTTTATTCATATTGTCTTTTTACAGATATATTTTATTTATATCTGAATTTTTACACACACACACAGACACATTTTTACAGTCTATCCAGTAAATTCCTGCTTCAGGTTGTTACTATTTTGTTCTGTATTAATTAAATCTCTTATTGTTTTTGAAGTAGTTGTAACTGTTGTATTAATAAGCAAATTTCCACCTTTATAAATAGCAGTTGATGCAGCTGGAGGCTAAACAAATCTTAACCTTGAAGATGAAACTACTAGAGAAGTAGTTGTGAATCGAATGTTGTAAACTATAATTAAAAGTAAAAGGAATAGCAGGAAACAAACATCCTGATTTGGTTTCATCAGGATTTTGAGGAGGTCATAAATATTAAGATGGATTGCATGTATCTGTTTTTGTTTTCTGGCTATTTCATTTACTTTATTTGTTCTTTTCATATCTGCAACAATCGTGCATTTTTATTCCTATTCTGTGACCATAACACCTTCACATGATCATCAACACTCACATCTCACACTGACCCTGATAGAACGAAAACGGAAATAAATTCCAAGATAGTCAATCATCAAATGACAAAAAATGATTTCTGAATCGGAGGATCAGCGTATACTTCCAGTTAATAAATTAATCCTTTGAAAATAAATATTTAACATTTTTAAAACAATGGATTGCATTCCCGCTGACAATAAAAAAAAAATGCTTTGTGATCCCTTTGAAGAGTATTTCAGTAAGGTCTCTAGATGGGCAAAATCAGTAAGAAGGAGCGTCAACATGCAACATGCACAACTTAAAATGGAATTCCCTTACTCATTCACCCGTCTTACTCACCAAGCTACGTGGCACTTAGACTTTCCTCTTCACATTCTCATTTGCTTCACTTATTACACAGATACACACACAGAAATCACATTTCATCTTAACAAGCAACTTCAAACAAGGAACTTTAATACTCATACATGTTATGAATAATTTAGTTGTAAAAACACGAAAATAAAAACATTTAAAAGCCTTTTTTGCATTTTTCTTTGTTGTGGGTTGATTCAAATCCACAACAATAGTCATCTGAGTGAATTATATGAACTGATACTAGTGGTTGGGTTCTTTAGCTTGTGTTCATTTGATCCCATCTGTTCAATCCCATTTGTATTAGTTCATTTGATACTGGGATCAAATAGACAAATCGAATACAAAAGAAGTTGAACAGACGGGATCAAACGAACACAAGCTAGAGAAGAACCCAACCGCTAGCACTGGAAAACTTTTGAAAAAGCTAAGATCAATGAGGAATATCTGGGATGGGACATTTCATCACCATCAACTCAACATTGGCCAATTCATCTCCGTGACAATTCAACTCCAGTGCAATTCACTACCAACTTAGCATGAACACAACTAAACGCTAGCATTGAATTCATAGATTCAGACCGGTGTTGGCTGTCCTAGTGTGCACATTTCTTAGATCAGCTTTGAGTTGTGGAGAGTCTGAATGTTTGATTGTCTTAGTGATTTATTAGTTACAGCAGCTTATTTGGCAGGACTGATGTTTAATTTTCAAGATCGGGCAAATAACCATGCTGAAGCAAATAGAAGACTGCACACAGAGCTTGAAATGAAGCACCCCACAAAATGGAGGTTCCTTACTGGGTTGCAAAAGGTGCAAAGAAACTGAGATGTATTTTTTCGATCAATTAATTGGAGGTCATCCTTCTCCCCTTAAATTGAAGAAATATATGAAGGTAGATGAAAGAATTTTGCAAATTATTTCTTCTTTTTTCACAACGACCTCCAACTGAATATTTGAGAGGAATTGTATACAATTTTCAATAAATTTTTAAATTAAAAATCAAGTCATGTA